GATGATAACTGCTGTCTAATGGTTAATATTCTGAGGATCCTTGGTAACTTTTGGAACCACTTACAACATAGGTGTGGAGTCCATAATAAAAAGATTAAGCTATAAAAATATAATGGAAATTCCTACTTTATTATACTGTACTGCAGACTGTGTTGATTTTTTTTTTCCCCCCACAAGTGGGTACTGGAGTAGACAACTTCTGACATGTTAGCAGGCTTGGTGCTTTTCCTTCCCATGCCTTATCTGAAGCCTTATCTTTCTAGTTTTCCCTGGAGCATGACCTATTAAATAGTTTACAACCATGCCCCCCCCCCCCCAATTACTATTGATTGAACAGGGGTAACCCTCCGTATCCAGGGCTTGACTCTGGGCAACATTGCTTACGAGGCGTGGGACAAGCCTGCTACTGCTGTGCGCAGGGATTAGTAATTAATGATTGTGAAACTTTTCTGGGGAAGCCACTACGGCTCCCCGGAGATTTCCAGGCTGATATACTAATGTCAGACTTTGGCATCAGTTATATGTATGGAGTTCTGTGACCGGAGACCACGAGCCAGAACCTGGCCCCCCCTCAGAAGAGGCACGAGGAGCAATGGCCTATAGAAACCCCTGTGTGGGTGGAAGCATTCTATGTCTGGTTAGGCACCCAGAAAGGTAAGCACCCCAAAACAAATCTCTATTCTGGTGAAAATTGCTTCAAAATGCCGAACTAGTGGATAGAACTTCTCAAACAGAAACAAGCAAATGAGCATGACATCACACATTGCAGCGCCGCTGTTTATGCAGCTCCTCCTTTCCCGGGAGCGGGAAGGGGGAACCCCAGACCCCCACACTGGCGATCCACACCTCAGGTCTGAGGCTGATGCTAGAGGCAGAGGTCGTGTGCTCTGGCTCCAGTGATTGTTCCAGCAGTGTGCCATGTGTGTGGTGGCTGTCTTCCAGGGGTGCGCGAGCTAGGAGTCATTCTTCAGTACTCGGGCTGCATGCGCCTAGGGTTCCCTTCCCTAGGTGTCTTGTAAGTACTGCCCTTGGGGCTTGGGGCCACCTTCCACAAGTTCCTTGGGTTCTGCCTCTGCTGGGCCATTTTAGTGCTCGGTTTTTTGGCCGCCCTTTGGGTGCTCGAGTGTTTTGTCTCCCTTGTTTACCTTAGAGTAAAATGCAGTTTGCACTGGTAAGGGGTGCAGGGTACTGCGCAGCTTGTTTTCACCATTCATAGCGGCCGGCTCTGTTCTTTTGGGTACGCTGTCCCCTGGCGGGGTTTTATTTTTATTTTTGTTGTGTTGCCTGGTGGAGGATCTGTCTTGGTTGTTTCCGCTATTGTACCTGTCTGAGTAGGGTTTTCTCTTCAGGTGGTACCCCTTGCTAGGTCCCCGTAAGTGTACATATCCCTGGGGTTCAGCTTTAGAGTGTTGCTTGGTAGTTTTGGGCGCCGGTTAGCAGTACTCTGCCTTAGATTCCCTGAGCATGAGTTCCGTCTCAGGACCCTGGAGAAACCCTACAGGGGACGCGCGGGTCTGATGGATGTGGCCCCTGAGTCCGCCCCCTCTCTTTGTGCGAGTTCAAGGGTTACTCGGTCCCCTTGTCTCCGGGTGACTCTCACTGTTTTTGCCTCCGTCATGCTGCCTGTTGGGGTCGGTGACACTTTCGACCCAAAGTCCTGTGAGTTTTGTTGCTTGCTGGTGACTCAGTTTACCCAATCTTATGATGATCTTCTGCGGGGTACTGGCAGCGCAGGCGTTGCATCTGTGCTTTAGGTTGTTGCAATGCGCTAGGTTGGTTGCTCACCCGGATGCCCCGAGGCTGCCCCGTTTTGCTTATAGGGACCCGGACTCGGGGGGTGATGGTCGTTTCGACCTTGGTTCCCTCCGCACCCCCCTCGTCCTTTCCCTTGCTGTGGTTCATTCTGGCCCGCCCCCCTGCTTTCGGCCCCGAAACATCTGAGGGGTTTCGGAGTTGGGGCAGGGTTTAGATGGTCTTGAGACTCGGGCAGTCTCAGGGGATGCCCCTTCCGGTGTGGCGACAGAGGCATTCAAGTCCAATCTCCCTGCTGAAGCCTCTGGGTCTGACCAGTGGGCCCCCTTCCGTCCAGCTTTCACGGCTTCGCCGGCCTTTTCTTTTGAGGTCGGTGCTTTGGGTGATGGCTCAGCCTCGGGTCCTGCAGTGGAGGATCCTGGGGCAGGGGAGGGGCAGACTTGGGGGTCTAGTGCCCCGCTGGACCCCGCCTAGGTTTTTCTACCCTCTGAGCGGGGTTTGCTGTTACAAGGAGTGGGTTCTCTTATTCCCCCTCTGGGTACAAGTTGGATTTGGTGTCTGCCCCTCTCCGTGTTCGATTCCATCTTTCCGGAGCTTCACACATCCAACCTCCTGTCGTGCGGGCAGCCCTTGCGGCTTACTTCCTGCATAACCCAGAGTATGCCTCTGTTATGGATCCGTCTTCATTCAGGTTTGGGTCTTCGTTTCCCTACTGGGTCCGTTACGAGGTTCTGGAGTCGTCCTGGCTGGCGGACTGTCCTGTGTTTACTTTGGAGGCTTGGCATACCTTCTGTCGTTCCCGTACGCTTCAGTGGCACGAGGCTTTGACAGTGGTTCAGATTTTCCTGGGGACGAGTTTTAGAACCTCAGTAAGTGCTTGTTTGCCCCTGCCCTTCCTCGGGATGTTGGCGTTGTGCAGCTCCATGTGCAGGTTCCGTCCCTTTCGGCTGCGCTGAAGACTTGAGCACTCGTGGCCTCTTGGCTTTGGCCTTATGTTTCATTTCCCTCCTTGAGCTGTCTTTGGACTGGCTTGAGAAGGATGTGGGAACGCTGGGGGCCGTTCCTTGGTTCAGTGCCTTGGGCTCGGCGGCTCGCTTGTCGTCTGCCTTGTTGAAGCTGTTTGCGCTGATCCTGCAGGTTGCAGTTTTGCTGTTTTATGCTTCTTGGCTCGTGTGTTGGCAGGCGGTACTTGCCTCCTCTTTGGAGTCTGCCTGGCCCCTGGCTCTTAGGATGTCTTTGCCATTTTGTCTCCTGTTTGCTGACTCGGCAGTGGCGCAGTATTTGCAGGCTGCCTCGGCTAGTTGTCGTCCTATGTCCGACTTGTTGGTTCTCCGGGGGCCCCCGGGTGGGGCCTTCCCAGCGGGGGGTCGTGCCAGGGCTCGGGGTTCCGCTCGTCGGGGGCAGGTCACTGATGCCAGTTTCGGGGCCGGCCTCGCCTTAGTCTGGTCGCGCGGTGTTCGCGCTGTGTGGTGTTCGCTCTCTGTGGTGTTCGCTCTGTGCGAGGCTTGGGTTCTCGTAAGGGGTACCGGCCTTTTCGCGGTTCGCCCCATTGATGGGGCGATGGGGGGGGGGGAGACTTGTGCTGTTTGCTCACGCCTGGTCCCACTATTTGTGGGCGTTTCGGGTCATTTTGGTCCGCCTGCGGTGGTGTTGGGATGCCCCTGCTCCTTCAGGGGGTTCGTGGCTGGCATAGCAGGCCTCTTCCCCTGCGCTGTCGGGTCATCTTGGAGTGGGTTCGCTTGGGCGTGGTCGAAAAGACGACGTCTCTCAGATGGGTTTCCCGTATGTTCCCGGTCCCGAAACGGGACTGTGCGGACCTGCGGATCATTCTAGACTTGTTCTGTCTAAACAAGTTTGGCTCGTCTGAACAGGTTTGGCTCTCCTGGCTGTTCATGTTCGGGGAATGTCCAACGTCTTAGCGGATGGCCTGTCTCGTTTTGTTCCCCTGTCTACGGAATGGACAGTCGACGCCGACTCCTTCCATTGGCTCTGCCAGACATTCGGGCATCCGGAGGTGGACCTCTACGCTTGAACCTTCCTGGGCCTAGTCGGGCCTGTGTTACTTTGGGTCGGCGGTTGCAGCCTGTTGTCTCTACTTCGAGTTGAGGAGTGAGCAGCGACCGCCTCCCAGGTAAGTCCCTCTGGTTTTTCCCTGTGGGTAGTTAGCTTCGGGGAGCCGTAGGGGCTCCCCTAGAAAACCAGCATTGAATGTAATGAAACGGCATTTTCTTGGGGAGACCCGGAGGCTCCCTGGCAACCCTCCCTCCCCCTGGTCAGTGGTTTTTTGCGTGCTTTGAGGTCCAGCCTCAGAACTGAGGTGTGGATGACTGGCGCAGGGGTCAGGGGCCCCCCTTCCCCCTCCCGGGGAGGGGGGAGCTGCGCAGAAAGTGGCGCAGTGACGTGTGACGTCATGCTCGTTTGCTCGTTTCTGTTTGAGGAGTTCTATCCACTAGTTCGGCGTTTTGTAACACTTTAAACCAGAATAGGGGTGTGTTTTGGGGCGCTTACCTTTCTGGGTGCCTGACCCGGTCGATGGCAGACACAGAATGCTTCCAACAACACTGGGGTTTCTATAGGCCATTGCTTCTCATGCCTCTGTGAGGGGGCCAGGTTCAGGCTCGTGGTCCCCGGTAGGCCCACAGAACTCCATACACATGACTGATGCCAAAGTCTGACATTAGCATATCAGCTTGGAAAGCTCCGGGGAGCCTCCGTGTCTCACCCAGAAAATGGCGTTTCATTACATTCAACGCTGGTTTTTTGAGTTTCAAAAAATTTTGAAAATTTGAAGATGATGCAGTACAACGAAGTATGGAAGATTAGTATGTTTATTATTAGCGAATTTGTTTAGATGTTGTCAATGTTTTGTGTAAAGCCCTTCATGTAATGGAATATTAGTGATCTGTACCTATGTACCCATTATTCTGTTATGTCACTTGGTTTGGGTAAAGCCTAAAACAAATAAAGTCTGCATTGTTGAATAGAGAAAAGACACAAAAATATCGAGAACTCTTCAAAGTAATTACTTTTGGTGAATGGTTTGTAATTATAAAATATGTTTAGTGTGGCCTGGTATTGTAGAAGTTTCAGTTGAAGCAAGTGTATGGAGTATCGACAAACGTTTTTCTTATGGATCGTCTCTTGTACACTTTGTGAGCACATTATCTACTTTTAATTGTACAGTACTAAGAAATTGCATTTTTATTCTCCAAGTACTGTATATAACATTATTTATTTATGTTTTTCAGAACAATAAATACAGTACGTAGCTGTAAACAAACTTAAGAATGGATAAACCAGGTGATGTTGGATTTGCTCCATACCCTTCTCCAGGACAAGCTGGACAGTACCCTCCTCCAGGGCAATACCCCCCTCCAGGGCAGTACCCTCCTCCGGGACAGTACCCTCCTCCAGGTCAGCCTGAACAGTATCCTCCAGGACAACCTGGTCATTACCCTCCTCCAGAACACTTTTCTCAGTATCCTCCTATGCAACCCAATCCATATGCTCCGGCAGGATACCCACAACCAGGCCAGTTTCCCCCTCAAGGCTACCCACAACCAGGGCAGTACCCACCACAGCAACCTGTACAAGGTAAGCAACCGTCTTAACCATACTGTATATACAGTAGACGATATTACTAACACTTCTGTAATGTTTTCCAAAGAATCTTATAATTCAGCAGTTAAAAATTTGAGGGTCTTCCTTATTATTTTGTATTAAAGTGGTGGTAAAATGAGAAACATCCACAACTGATATAGACTTCTGTATGGATGCAGAGTGACTGTGTTTGTTCTGTAAAGGGAAAGTGATTGTGCTATTTTTGTTGCTATCACAAAGTTCATCATGACCAGAGTGTGTTTATAATCTTCACATGTTTTGTGGCCCCTCCAGAAAACAAATTAGTTTGGTTTGCTACCCAGCACAAACCCTACCCATTAACTATTTGTTGGGTTGCTCTGTATGATGTGGGAGTTTGTAGCCATGTGGCATGCCCTGAGGAGGATTCAAATTCTTCTGAGCACTATGCTCCACCTTCATTTGAACTGTGCCCCAGTGGTTCATTGTCTGAACGTGGGGCAGACTCCTGTTGGTCAGCTGCCCTTTGAAGCTGAACGCTGCGAGTAGCTAGTCTGCTGGATTCTCAGAGTTTGGTTCCCAAGAATCCAGCAGACGGCTTCCATGCAGTTCATGTTCAGGCATGTCCAACACTCTTGCAGATGGTTTGTTCCAGTTCCTTCCTATCTCCACAGAGTGGACCATCAGTGCTACCTCCTTTCTGTGGCTTTCTGGAATGTTCGGGCATCCCACTTTTTAATTTGACATATTAATTAGCAATCAGGAAGCACAAAAGTCAAAGAAAAAAGTCTATATCTCCCATGGTTTAATTGGACACGGCTTGTCCAATTAAATTGGTTGGACACGGGAGAGATACCAGATGAACTTAAAGTAGCAGACATAGCCCCGCTACACAAGGGAGGGAGCAAAGCATTGGCAAAGAATTATAGACCAGTTGCACTAACATCGCACATCGTAAAAGTATTTGAGAGAGTGATTAGGAGTCAGGTCACCAATTTTTGGAGACCAATGACCTTCACAACCCAGGCCAATATGGATTTCGAGCGGGAAGATCATGCCTCTCACAGCTACTTGAGCACTACGACAAAGTCACTGAGGCATTAGAAGAAAAACAGAATGCTGATGTGATATACACGGACTTCGCAAAGGCTTTCGATAAATGTGACCATGGCGTGATAGCACACAAAATGAAGTCAATGGGAATAACCGGTAAAGTAGGACGCTGGATACTCAGTTTTCTGTCAAACAGGACTCAGCGAGTAACGGTCAACCATATAAAATCTAGTCCAAGTGCAGTTAAAAGCTCTGTACCTCAGGGTACAGTCCTTGCACCGCTGCTTTTCCTTATTCTCATATCAGATATAGACAAAAATACAAGTCATAGCTTCGTATCATCCTTTGCAGATGACACAAAAATAAGTATGAAAATTATCTCGGCTGAAGACATTGAAAAACTTCAAGCTGATATTAATAAAGTTTTCGACTGGGAATCAGAAAATAACATGATGTTTAACAGTGACAAATTCCAGGTACTGTACTCGGGTACGGTAAAAATGAGGACCTTAAACATAATACAGAGTACAAAACACAATCAAATGTACCCATAGTAGGAAAACAGCATGTAAAGGATTTGGGAATAATAATGTCTGACGATCTAACTTTTAAGGAGCATAACCAAGCAAATATTGCGACAGCCAGAAAAATGATAGGATGGATTACAAGAACTTTCAAATCCAGGGATCCCATCACAATGGTTGTACTCTTCAAGTCACTTGTGTTGTCTCGTCTTGAGTACTGCTCAGTACTCGCTTCCCCCTTCAGAGCAGGAGAGATTGCTGAAATAGAGGGAATACAGAGAACATATACGGCATGCATAGACGCTATAAAGCACCTAAATTATTGGGATCGTCTCAAAGCTCTCCAAATGTACTCACTAGAAAGAAGACGAGAGAGATATCAAATAATATACACCTGGAAGATACTGGAGGGCCAAGTACCAAATCTACACAGTAAAATAACAACGTACTGGAGTGAACGATATGGAAGAAAATGCAGAATAGAACCAGTGAAGAGCAGGGGTGCCTTAGGCACAATCAGAGAACACTGTATAAACATCAGAGGTCCCTGGTTGTTCAACACCCTACCAGCAAGCATAAGAAATATTGTCAGAACAACCGTGGACATTTTCAAGAGGAAACTAGATTTATTCCTCCAAGGAGTGCCGGACCAACCGGGCTGTGGTGGGTATGTGGGCCTGCGGGCCGCTCCAAGCAACAGCCTAGTGGACCAAATTCTCACAAGTCAAGCCTGGCCTCGGGCCGGGCTTGACTTGTGAATATATATATATATATATATATATATATATATATATATTCACAATATATATATATATATTCAATATATATTCAATATATATATATATATATATATATATATATATATATATATATATATATATATATATATATATATATATATATATATAATATATATCAGTATATTTTGGTAGCAGTCTTTCCTGTAGACATATATTATTAAATATGACCGAAAAAGTAAGATTAATAATTCTAACACGAATTTTCTCAATCTTTCGTACATTTCTTTTCACTGTTGGAGGTAATTCAAAAATCAATTCTCCAAAATTCATTTTTATTTCTAGTCTGACGCGACACTTGAGCGCGTTTCGTAAAACTTATTACATTTTCAAAGACTTTAGTTTACAAATACACAACTGAATAGAACTTACACATCTTCGATTTTGTTTATATCTACATTTGAGTGAGGTGGATGGGGTGAGGTGGCATTAATAAGGTATTAATTTCATCAACACAAGACAGAACAAGAGGTGGCATTAATAGGGTATTAATTTCATCAACACAAGACAGAACACGAAACAATGGGTATTGAAATGGAAGTGATTGTAGAAAGCCTATTGGTCCATATTTCTTGATGCTTCTATATTGGAGCGGAGTCTTGAGGTGGGTAGAATATAGTTGTGCATTAATTGGCTGTTGATTGCTGGTGTTGACTTCTTAATGTGTAGTGCCTCGCAAACGTCAAGCCGCCTGCTGTCGCTGTATCTGTCGATGATTTCTGTGTTGTTTACTAGGATTTCTCTGGCGATGGTTTGGTTGTGGGAAGAGATTATATGTTCCTTAATGGAGCCCTGTTGTTTATGCATCGTTAAACGCCTAGAAAGAGATGTTGTTGTCTTGCCTATATACTGGGTTTTTTGGAGCTTACAGTCCCCAAGTGGGCATTTGAAGGCATAGACGACGTTGGTCTCTTTTAAAGCGTTCTGCTTTGTGTCTGGAGAGTTTCTCATGAGTAGGCTGGCCGTTTTTCTGGTTTTATAGTAAATCGTCAGTTGTATCCTCTGATTTTTGTCTGTAGGGATAACGTTTCTATTAACAATATCTTTCAGGACCCTTTCCTCTGTTTTATGAGCTGTGGAAAAGAAGTTCCTGTAAAATAGTCTAATAGGGGGTATAGGTGTTGTGTTAGTTGTCTCTTTAGAGGTTGCATGGCGTTTCACTTTCCTTCTTATGATGTCTTCGACGAAACCATTGGAGAAGCCGTTGTTGACTAGGACCTGCCTTACCCTACAGAGTTCTTCGTCGACTTGCTTCCATTCTGAGCTGTGGCTGAGAGCACGGTCGACATATGTGTTAACAACACTCCTCTTGTACCTGTCTGGGCAGTCGCTGTTGGCATTTAGGCACATTACTATGTTCGTTTCCTTAGTGTAGACTGCAGTGTGGAAACCTCCGCTCTTTTCCATGACTGTTACATCTAGAAAGGGCAGCTTCCCATCCTTTTCCATCTCGTAAGTGAAACGCAGCACGGAACTCTGCTCAAATGCCTCCTTCAGCTCCTGCAGATGTCTGACATCAGGTACCTGTGTAAAAATGTCGTCAACATACCTGCAGTATATGGCCGGTTTCAAGTTCATGTCGACTAAGACTTTTTGCTCGATGGTACCCATGTAGAAGTTTGCAAACAGGACACCTAGGGGAGAACCCATGGCGACCCCATCTACTTGCTTATACATGTGCCCATCCGGGCTCAAGAAGGGTGCCTCTTTAGTACAAGCTTGGAGTAGTTTCCTTAGAATATTTTCGGGTATGTCAAGAGGAGTACAGGCTGGATCACGATACACTCTGTCGGCTATCATCCCGATTGTCTCGTCCACAGGTACGTTGGTAAACAGCGATTCTACGTCCAACGAGGCTCTTATCCCTGTGGCCCGTGTGCCCCGCAGTAAGTCAACAAATTCCTTTGGAGACTTCAGGCTGAAGGCGCAAGGAACACAAGGAGTCAGCAGGCCGTTGAGTCGCTTTGCCAGTCTGTACGTGGGTGTGGGTATCTGGCTAATGATTGGCCGAAGTGGGTTTCCAGGCTTGTGTGTCTTGACATTTCCATACGCATATCCAGGTTTATATTCCCCAATGATCTTTGGCAGGTGGAGTCCGGATTTCTTGGCGTTCACAGTTTCGATCAGTGAAACTGATCACTGATCGAAACTGTGAACGCCAAGAAATCCGGACTCCACCTGCCAAAGATCATTGGGGAATATAAACCTGGACATGCGTATGGAAAAAGTTTTCCTGAATTAATATATTTTCTCAATTTTTTTTCTTATGAAATGATAAAGCTACCCATTTCAATATGTATGAGGTCAATTTTATTTTATTGGAGTTAAAATTAACGTAGATATATGACCGAACCTAACCAACCCTACCTAACCTAACCTATCTTCATAGGTTAGGTTAGGTTAGGTAGCCGAAAAAGTTAGGTTAGGTTAGGTTAGGTAGTCGAAAAACAATTAATTCATAAAAACTTGGCTTATTAGGCAAATCGGGCCTTGCATAGTAGGCAGAGAAGTGCATTCTGGCTACTAGGTACGACATATATATATATATATATATATATATATATATATATATATATATATATATATATATATATATATATATATATATATATATATATATATATATATATATATATATATA